GTGTCACTGATGTGCCATGTCGTGGAGGTAGGGACCAGCAGAAGGTACCACAGAAATGTCTTCCACTGAAGATGGTCATAGATCAGGGGTGGGCAAGTAATTTTCTCAAGTGGCCACATGACAGACTGTTGCGAGGGGCAAAACCAATAGGCTGCACTTGATTCTGCTCATTAGTAATCACTTTATAGGCAGTAAATGATCGGATTTTGATTATCCGCGGCCCCGCAGGGGAGCACGGTAGGGATTCTGACTTTAAGGTTTTGGATAGAACAGGGAACGGTTAGAAATGTCATTTGTTAGCTATAAAAAGTTTGACGGTAAGAGATTTTCCCCTTACTTCCTGTCCCAATGACAACACTGGCTCCAGAACAGGAAGTGAGGGACACCTCCCCATCGGATCTTCCCCTTCACTATCCGAAATAAAAAACTTTGAGTGGAGAACGAACTTTACAATCATGTTATGGGCTCAGCCCACCCAACAATGTGTACTGTATACCCGGTGCCCGCAGCCTCTTCTCCCCCGGGCTCTGGAGGTCCAAGGAACCGTGACGTCAACACATCCAATGCAGAGGGGGAGGGAGGGACGCCGAGGGTCACCGACGCAGGACTGAGGATCAAATAGAGCAGGGGTAGCCAAACTCCGGCCCTCCAGCTGTGGGTGAAACTACAAATCTCATGATGCATCTCTCCGGGAGTCATGTCTAGCTGTGAAAATCTTGCAATACCTCATGGGATTTGTAGTTCCACCACAGGTGGAGGGCCAGAGTTTGGCTACCCCTGAAATAGATCTTATACACCCTAGACCAGGGCTTGGGAACCGCCAGCTTTGGCGAAACTACAAATCCCATGAGGCATTGCAAGGTTCTCAGCCACAGGCAAGACTCCCAGAGACAGATGCATCATGGGATTTGTAGTGTCACCCACAGCTGGAGGGCCGGAGGTTCCCCACTCCTGGTCTAGAACAAAATGAGCAGTTAACCCCTCGCAGTCTGGGGACAGCCCCGCTGAAAGGGTTAATTTTTAATGTGCCCGGAGTTATTTCTTTAATGACAAAACGTGTGTGAATTAGTTAGACCGACAGCCAATAGAAAGCTTGAAGTCACTTGCCTGCATCCATGGAGTCCGCGGAGTGCGTCCTGGGGAGGGCGTAGCGATCAAACAGCTTGCGTTTCGGAGTTTCACATTGGCTGCCGAGAGAAAAGCCAACCAAACGTTTAGACATTCTGAGCCGAGAACCGATCTATGTTAAAGCCGAACTCCGGACACAACTCCCGTCTACTCCTCAACCACGAGGGGTATAAAGACACTTCGTCTGCACCCAATGCCCCTATCAGAGTTGTGGGAGGGGCCTAGTAGGCTCCACCCACCAGTTTGCCTGCAGAAAACTACAGGAGCGGGCGGAGACAAGGCCAGTCACCCTGCACAAGGGGAGAGAGCAGCAGTGAGCGGTCTGTATTACAGGAGGGGGCGGAGACAAGACCGGTCACCCTGCACAAGGAGAGAGCAGCAGTGAGCGTTCTTTATTATAGGAGGGGGCGGAGACAAGACCAGTCACCCTGCACAAGGGGAGAGAGCAGCAGTGAGCGGTCTGTATTACAGGAGGGGGCGGAGACAAGACCGGTCACCCTGCACAAGGAGAGAGCAGCAGTGAGCATTCTTTATTATAGGAGGGGGCGGAGACAAGACCAGTCACCCTGCACAAGGGGAGAGAGCAGCAGTGAGCGGTCTGTACTACAGGAGGGGGCGGAGACAAGACCAGTCACCCTGCACAAGGAG